GTACTTTACATTACTTACCTTTTGGAGAAAAGCAGAATAGTTATTAATCTTCTTTTATAATAGGTAAAAGTGATATGTGCATTCCAATTTCACTACACTGGCTGTCATGATTAGTTGATATGGGGAAAGAATTGTCTTCCTGTTTAACTGATTTCTGTGCCAATCAGAGTAGCCCAACGTATGGGTGGGCTTATATGGAAGGACACAGACATGATGATGAGGACTGTTTGGGAGATTCATTGTTCTCTATTTAGCCATCAATTTTCAGGGCTCGTGGGGGATTAAGAACATCACAAAGAGGGAAATCTACAAATCATTCAAAACCTCTTTCTATTCCTTAACAGCAAACACTTCTCCCAAAACGTCTTTGGGAACATACCTATACCTTTCAAGAATCATATGAGCTGACTGATCCATTTGTCTTTTTTGCTGAAATTATAAGAGAACAGGAAAAAATATCACAGAATCCACGGTTCTTTCTTGTATCTCCTTCCCACCAAAAATCAATGAAAAGCAGTAGTAGAAAGAAAGACTTTTGGACTGAGCTAATAGTTAACTGTACTTATCTGTGGTCAGTAAATAGAAATAAATAATACATGCATAGAGCCTTTGTTAAAATTGGAATGCCGTTAATGTCCTCCTTTCTTGAATTTCTTCATTCCTCTCTTCCTTTGGATTCCTCAGCCTCTGGCCTCTGTTTTCTAATTCCCCCAGTAAGTCATGAAGTTCTACACATAATTATTGCCCTCCTTCTATATTTCTGGTGCTGAGTGAAGTCCCAGGGCAATGTTGCTTAGTACAGTCCCCAGCAGGTGCATCAGAAACACCTGAGATGTTGTCATAAATGCAGAATCCCACGCCCTGCCCCACACATACTGAGCTGGAATCTATGAAGTAAGTGGTGGTGGAATTTACTTTTTTTGAATCCAAGCATCCCAGTTAATTATTATGGACACCAATGTTTGAGAAAATCAAAGCTAATCAAGATAGTCTTAGTCCTCAAAGAGCTCACAGGGCTGGTAGAGGAATCAAACAAGTAATGGATAATTTCAAAAGTATTCATATCAAGTAAAGTGATAGACTTATGCACAGAGCCATGAGCCATTTTGACTGCGCACTTTAACTTGACAATTTGAGGAACATTTTCTACAGCTAAAATTTAAAATTTATCAAACTCTTAATATTTTTTGTGTTGTTTTTATTGTTTGTTTATTAACCAAGGATGGCAGACATTGAATGAGACCTACTCCACATCCACTGAAATATTCCTGTATGTGGCTTTTTCTACTACAGAAGTCAAAAAACTAAAAATTTACTTTCCTAGACTCCCTTGCAGCTACAGCTAGTGGTGGCCAATAAGATACAATGAGAAATCTGATAGGAATTTCTAAGACAGTCTTTGCTTTCTTGACACAGGCTCTGCTTATTTTTCATCCTTTCCTTCTCCCTGCCTTTGTCCTGCTGTCTAAAACTCAGATGTGTTTAGTAAAGTTACACAGGCATCTTGAGATTATGAAGGAAAGGCAAAAAGAATCACAGAGACCTCAACTCCGCTATCCTTTAGTCACTCAACCTAGGACATTGTGTAGAATAAAAAATAATTTGTTTATTCTGCTGTGTAATAAGATTTTCTATTACTACTTTCAATTGAATGCAAACTCTAATTGATACACAAAGATATGATTGAAAAGAATATCATCACCCCATCTCTCAATCCCAAACTCCCCCAGTAGGATAGGGTGACCTGGAGTTGAGTTGGCTCTGAATGGTGAATGAAGAAGGAATCCAAGGTGGGAAAAAGATAAGGGTGGCATCAAACCTCATCTGGAAGTCAGACTACATCAAACCAGAAGTTAGAGCTAATGTATTTGATCAACTCTGAAAAAGTCATAGGTTATTCTTAGCTAGGTGTCTGCTTGTTTCCTGAGACTCAATTTATACTGGGACTGGCCTGAATCACATCTCTGATCTCCTGTATGTTTGCCTTCATCATAGCAAATTGCTGGTCATCAATAATTACTATAATTACTTGTTTTATTTGACATTATAAAAAATGAGAGAAGGGACACTCCTACTTTCAGCAGGCCTCTTGATGAAGCTGCCTTATGTATTTGACAAGGTATATGTTATGTGCAAGGGAAGGTCCCAGATGGGGTCAATGGAAATGTTTAAGTCACAATACAGTCCCTTTTTTTCAGCTCCAGACTCATTAGAAAAATCCTAAAACAAGGTTAGGTTACTACACATTATTCAGTAAAATACTTAAAATATTTTTATGTGCTTAAAAATTGTATACGAGATGGATGAGGCAGTGAGACTCATAGACCTTGAAATGCTAAAGTTCTAAGAGACATTTAAAATGTGACTATAGTGTAATATACGCACATGAAAAATTCAAAACAGGTATTTTTAAAATATTTAAAAAAATAAGTGGTGGGGTTTAGGGATAGAATAATGGTGAGGAAGGTCTGTTTCACACCTTATTTGGTTGCTTTCATGCCTCCATCCAAACAGCTCCTGATGCACAGGCTGCTATGGGAGCCAAGTGGGGCAATAATTGCACAGGATTTATGACATCAAATTTTGTGACTGCTGCAAATCCTAGTAACCTTTATGAGTAGTTGAGAGCTTAGCCTAGATTATTAAAAGTTCATAAATTTGAACATCATCCTTGGCTAGGGACTATACTATTTTACATTATTCTAAGTTCTGTCTTGTTTGGATATATTTTTAACCATAAATGAGCACACTGGCTTACAAGTGTAACTAAGTGTCACCATAAGAAATCCTAATATACAACTCAGTTTGCAAAAGGTAAATTAGGGACTAATTATTCCCTTTATAAAAGAATTTACCATGGAGTTCCTTTATATCAACAATTCCTTTTACATTTAAAATATGACTCAATATATAAAAGTTTAAATCACATGTCACTTTTCAGAAACATTTTTATTATTTCTATTAAAAAAGATAACCCTGTTAAGCCCTTAGCATAATGCCCAGTTGGTATGTGCTCAATAAATGTTGCCCAGATTCATTATTATGCTAAATGAGGTTCTTGTGTATATTATATTTAGTATTATATTTAGTAACCAAGAAAAGGCACTTCTGAATCTTTTAGAGCTAAGGACCTCAAATATGAAGGTATATAAGAGTCATCTGGCACACTTATTAAAAATGTAAAGCCATGGGCTCCACTCAAAAAAACTCGGACTCTGCGGATCCGCAGTGCAACTAGCAATCTGCATTAGGAAAACATACTCCGTGGTGATGGTCGTGACAGCCAGAGAAGGTCTGTGATATACAGGTGACATCAAATGTTTTAACTGCCAAAAATCTCAATAATCTTTATGAGTATTTGAGAGCATAATGTGACTTATTAAGATAAATGTCAAAAAGGGGTGGGGTGGGGACTTTCAATCAGCTGGATCACAGCCACTGGCTACTGTGACTTGGGTTAGAGAAAAGGGCAGCTGAGGTTTCCCCTGGTGATGAGGAGGAACCACCTGCAGAAAAAAAGCAAAGACTCTCTGGGATCCATGTAGAGTTGGGCTAATTTGGGGAAATGGCAGTTGGCTATTTTTCCACTGACATCTCAGAGATCAAAGGCCAGCAATAGCGAAAGAAAACATGCAGTTCTGTTATTTCTGTCCCTAAACATTTGGCTGCCCTACAGAATTTAAGCCCCCCTTTTTAAAAAATATACCTGCACAAGCCCCAAATAGAGGGTATTTCTCCATCCCTGACTGGAGAAAGTCAACAGGAAGGAAAGAAAGGCCCCCTTCCTGTCCTGCCCCTTCTCATGGGATTCATCATAAAGTTTCATGAAAAAAGTTGGGGGAAATTCCCTTCCAAAAGGAAAGGTTTATTTTCTCTTCCCATAACCACCCTCTTATTCTTGTCCACCATTTCACTAATCTCTTCCTGCGTGGCAAAGGGGTTGGGAGATAACAAACGCTAGCGTTACCCTGACGCTGACGCCAACTGTTGCCAAGGAGACAACACCCTTCCCTCATCACAAAAATCTTATGTCACCTAAGAGCAGAAGTGGCCCTGGCTTTAAAAAAAAAAAAAAGTCCATTTATGGCTGTCAATAAAAGACAGATGACCTTTTCATCTCAGCCTAGACACAGTCATGGAAATATAATTCTGTACTCTACCAAGCATTTGTAACTTGAAGAAAAAAGTTAATGGAGATAAGGTGGTTGCTTTTGTTTCAAGCTCACTTTAGAAATGTAAAGTAACCTCAAAGTATACTAAAGAATAAATCAGAGTAACTTCTGTAATCTGGTGTTCCCTTTATCAAAAGCTGCTTTTAAATGGCATTTCCACAGAGTAAAGTGTGATCACAAATGATGCTCATAAGAATGAATGCAGAGGCCCTAAAGCATCCTGGAAGGCCTTGTAAATCTGTTCCAAAAAATTGAATTATATCTCATTTTTAAAGTAAATATGCTTTATTATAGTCTAGTTCATTGGAATGCAACTAGCTGAGTACGTTAAATAAGGTAACCATGAAATGGAGTGTTTAATCAAAACACCACATTCTCCAGATGCCAGGTAGTTAGCTCTATGTGGATCCCCTACCAGTGTCTGTGTCTGTGTGTGTGCACACACATATATTTTATTACATCAGTTTTCAACCTTCTAGATCAGGTATCCTCAAACTATGGCCCACGGGCCACATGCGGGTGTTTTTGCCCATTTGTTTTTTCACTTCAAAATAAGATATATGCAGTGTGCATAAAAATTTTTGTTCATAGTTTTTTTTTTAAACTATAGTCTGGCCCTCCAACTGTCTGAGGGACAGTGAACTGGCCCCCAGTTTAAAAAGTTTGAGGACCCCTGTTCTAGCTAGGTTCCTACGGAAATATTTTACTTCTATTTGTAACAAATATGCTATCAATGTGTTGAGATGTTTAAGGTTTGGGGCCAATTTCCCATTCCTAATTTCAACCTGAATAGAAGAAATTTCCCTTAGATTAAGCTCTTTTACTTACCAATCCATCTTTGTCATACGGTGAATCAAAGTTATCCAGAAATTTCCTGAATACTTGCTCCTCAGTCCACTCCCCATTTTGGTATTTTGGATGGTGTTTTACATTATATACCTCACGAAGGTCTTCAATTGTTATGACACCGTCTCCAGTCTTGTCTAACTTTCTAAAAGCTTGCATAATTACCTCTTTTCTGGCTCTGGACATTGGAGGCTACATAAATAGAAAAAACACATACAGCCATACACAGTCAAGTGAGCCTTTTTTTGTACCATATGTGATGAAATATCTTATTCCCCTCAATGATGAAAAACTGTTTATGTGCAATTAAATAACATGCATTATGATTGATTTAAAAAACTCCTAAACCTGTTCACAGTCTTCTACCCATCCCCTCAACAGTGTACTAACAACTTCTAAAAACAAAACCTCAAAATAGCCAACCCAAACCACGTGAAAGCCAAACTTAACAAATACACTGATTCACGAGGCCACTTACTCTTAATGTGAGAAGAAATTCATTGAAGTCTATTGTTCCATTTCCATCTCTATCGAACTTCTGAAAAAGCTCTTCTGCCTCTTCCTTTTCCATGACCACAGCATAATCATTTAACCCTTTCACAAATTCTTTGAAATCAAGGGTTCGGTTGTTATTGTCGTCCATAATTCGAAACACTCTGAAGAAAATAACCACAAAAAAAATAAGAAGAAACTCACAAAGAAGAAGGTGTAAGTGTAAAGATTTAAAAAGAAAACTACTCTCAGTGTTTTTCAAAGTAATATACAAAAGTTTTAGATTCTTCTCTGCACCATCCCTTTCAAAATTGGAGAGCTTCTTCCCAGCCCATCATAGAGGAAATTAAACCTTTAAACACACACACACACACACACACACACACACACACACACACAGAGTATGATTCTAATTATATGACATTCTGAAAAAAGCAAAACTAAACTTCAAGATAAGAGAAAGATGAGGCAGAGAGGAGAGAGCTGAACTGGCAAAGCACAGGGGATTTGTAGAGCAATGAAACCATGCTGTACACTTTGATGGTGGATACCCAGCAGTATGCACCTGCTAAAACCCATAGAGCTTTACAGCACAAAAAGGAAACCTTAATGTGGATGGACTTTCAAAAACCCATTTAGGAAGTGAGGGGACCCCAGGAAAGAATACAAATTGTGACAAAAGAAGCTGACTGTATTACAAAAGCATGAACCACCTCACTGAAAAGGATGGGAGAGAAAGCTGCTGATTTAAATAACTTTGGAAATGAGCAGAGTCTTTAAGACTTAAGGAACTGCACACAATCACTGTACTCTAGATTATAACCTGATACTGTTGTACAGGTACACAGGAATCGGACAATCAAGCAAGGGGATGAGAAAAAATGGGAGCCGGGTGCCCACAGCTGAGTGGGAACTTACAGATAAGCTCAAATGATCCATGCAGTAATGGATTGAGTTGGAGACAGCAATATGAACTGATGTGTAGCTTGATATGGACATAGATGGTTACATATAAAAATATTTATAGATATGTGTACATACACAGATTAGTAGACACACATATATTTCCTTGTTCTGTCAGCTGAGAAGACCGAAAAATAACAACACCCCAGTAGCAATAAGCACATCTAGGGCCTAAATCTTAGTTTTTAAATCCATTCTCCTGTGAAAAGAACAGAGCTCCTTGGAGAAATGGCTGATTCTAGGATCGGGACATGAAATATACAAAATAAGCTTGGGGGATCTTGTAGTATCATAAATTAAGGAAATGCTAAAAATCAAACAAGTACATTGGTGGAGATGTGTCAAAGGGACATAGGAGCCAACTGAAAGAGTTCCCAAGGCTAAAGCCGAAACAATTTGATCAATATAACAATGCTGGGTTACAACCCAAAATAGAAAGTACATATCCATGAGTCTATATGGGTTTAAATAAATAATGGAATAAATAAATAAATGGAGGAAAAAAGACATATTTCCCTTACAGAAAAATTCCAGATAAGTTATGTACATACTCTGCCCTCCAGGAGGGGAAGCCTAGCCCCCACTCCCTAAGCCTGGGCTCTGCACAGATGCTTCCTTCCAAAAGCACAGTCTGGGAAGGGCAGCGGGAGTAATCACACTGGAGGAGGCTGACAAACACTACCTCAATCAGGTGATCATGGTCAACATCAACAGGGATAGATCACATTGATTGCACTCATCCTTGTGTTGAGGTGATCAAAATGGCACTTAACCTCTGTGGTCCCCCAAACCAGTAACTCTAGACTAATCATGAAAAAATAATCAGACAAGTTCCAATAGAAGGGCATCCTACAAAATACATGACCTGTCAAGATCATCAGAAACAAGGAGAAACAGAAACAAGGAGAAAGTAGGAGAAACTGTCATAAACAAGATGAGCCTACGGAAATATGGCAAGTAATTGCAACACAGTATCCCGGATGGGATCCTGCAACAGAAAAGGACAGTAGGTAAAAACTAAGGGAATATGAAGATTGTGGTCCTTACTCAGTAATAATTTATCAATATTGGTTCATTACTTATAGCAATAATAATAAGAAACTAGGTGAGAGTGTTATGTGGGAACCCTCTGTAGTACCTTTGTAATTTTACTATAAATCTGAAGCTGTTCTAAAAAGTAGTCTATTTAAAAAATAAAAACAGGGAACATTTTTCAAGCTCCCATCTTTGCTAATAGACCCAAAGTCTTCCTATTTCCCAATTAAAGGAAAGCAGAAAATGTAGGTAAGTACTTTGAAAACCCTATTGTACATATTCTTCTGGATAATGTCTCCATTTAGTATAAAATGTAAACATGGCTTCTCACTTTTTAAACATACATCCACTGACTGCCCAAAAGCTATAGACACTGTGCTAGCTGCAAGTAGCCTCCACTTGGAAACATGCCTCATTATTTCCAGCTATGTCTTATCACCTCCAAATATGTGGTGCCCAAATCTTTTTCTACGAAAGAACTGATATATCTTCTTTTTTTCCGAGTATTTTATTTATTTATTTATTTATTCGTTGTTTAATTTTTTAATTTTTTTTTACTTCAGCATATTACAGGGGTACAAATGTTTAGGTTACACATATTGCCTTTGCCCCAGTAAATGTTGGTGTGAATGCAGAGAGATAGGAACACTCATATATCTTCCCAATATGTTTAATTATAATGCTTGAGGTCCTCCTACTAATCTCATCACACCCCATTGTGACCTCACTCTGCTACACATTCCCTCTTCCTCCACCATCCACCACTACCCACAGCACATCCCTGAGAATTTTACATTTTGTTGGGAATCTATCATATAGAAAGAATTCTTAACTGGGATTCACAAAACCTGTTCTTGATTTCTGGTTCTACTACTAAAACTACCTGTGTGCCCTTGGGCACATTTTATAACCTCTGAGTCTCAGTATTCTTTCTTTTTTTCTTTTATTTATTTATTTATTTTTTTTTAATTAAGACAGTGTCTCACTCTGTTGCCTGGGCTAGAGTAAAATGGCATGATCATAGCTCCCTGCCACTTAGTAGTCACTCTGTCAATATTCGTTGCCTGGATGAATGAATGAATAAATTAACTGAGGAATAAACAGCAGTGAGACAGAAAGTGAACTTACCAGTTTCTTTGTAAAACATAAATAAATTTGAAATGAATGATGTATCATGAAACTACCATGTATTATTCAATAAAATGCATTGGTTAGGCATTTATAACGTGCCACACATTGCATTAAGCCCTGTGAGGAGGAATACAAAGTTGAATGACATTCAGTCTCTGTCCTCAAGAAATTTATTGACAGAGAGAGACAGAAGGAGAGACAGAGAAACTAAGAAAAATGATCAGTGGCTTTGACTGAAGGGAGGCAGGACTCATTTCAGACCAACAGCAGTTTCTAGGGCGTTTGAGAAAGCTGAAGGACAGCTCCGAAGAAAGAAATAATGAAATGCAGATAGAAAGTTGGGCTAATGGCAGAATCTAAAGAATTTTAAATGCTCTTAAACACTAAAGAGTTGAGCTTTATTATAAAAATTGTTTTGAAAGTCATTTTATGACTTTCATGAGAAGTAATATTATCAAAATAACCATTTATTACCAGCAATAGTGGGTTGAGTGACTTGAGGACTAAAAGCTCAGAAGCAAAGGAACCAGTAAGAATATTATACTATAGTAAGAGTCTGGGGGAAAGATGCTGAGTGTCTGCACTTAAGCAATTGAGATGAAAATAAGAAAGAGATGGCAAGATATTGTAGAAAAAGAAGAATCGATGTGGTGGGTTAATGAAGATACTTCTAAAGTTTCCAACCCAAGAAACCGGAAGAGTGGAGATATCATTAAAAGAATAGGAGCTGCAGGGGAAATTCTGTTTGCAAGAAGGATGCTGACTTTTGTTTCGTCTTGAATAGTAAGGCAACTACATAGAGATATTCAGTGGGTAGTTGGTTAGTTAGCTAGTGTCCTTCCTGATAAAAGAAAAGAATAAATTGTGAAATGAGTTTGGAGCTCAGGAGATGACTCAATGCCAAGAATGTGGCCAGAGGCCAGGGTAAAGATGACCTAATTCAGGAGTGGGCAAGAGGTATGGTGAATTAAAGATAATGACAATCGAATATTAAAAAATATCTATATTTACAAAGTAATTTGAAATGACTGAGAAAGAATATATACTGTTGAAAACCACCAGAATTTGGTGTTAAAGATATCAAGGTAATGATAAAGTCATCCTGATCTTGGCCAGGACAGGGACTCAAGTCAAGGTGGAGAGATGGTTCCAGGAGCCAAAACTGCACAGAATGTCAAGTGTCCTGGAGGTGAGCAGGTGGTAGAGCCAAACCTGGAGAGATGTCTTTCAAAGACAGGATTCATGGGGAAGGAATGAATGAGCAAGTGGTGGGGGTGAATATTACCTGGGATCAGGGGTTACGCTGAAAAGGAGTGTTTCACCATCAATTGACCCTAAGGCAGGGGTAGAGGGGAAGGAGCAGCCTCCCGTACAGTTGAGGAGAGACCTGGGGAAGGATGAGGCCAGTAAGGTGGGCAGAGGGCACATTCGAGCCAAAGGCTGAGGATGGGATGGCATCTGCTCACAGCAGACTGGCTCACAGTGGAAGGGCTGGCGCAGTGCAGGCTACTCCAGGTGTGGGGTGGGGATGGCACCGGCAGCAGGAGGGATCAATCTGAGTGACCAGGGAGTGGAAGAGAGGGCAGGGTTCCTCCAAGGTTTGCACCAAGAACAATGATGTGGAGCCAAGACGAAAGAGATCGAGGATGAAGTGACACAATATTGAAGCAAAGTGGGCTGGACTTGCCATTGGACTGTGACCGCCTGGCCACCAGGGTCCACATACAAACAGCTCAGGCTTCTCACAGAGAGCTGGGCTTACTCAGACACTTGAGACTGCTCCAAATGGTATCCCAGATGCTCAGCACCTCACCAGAAGTAAAGCCTTCTGAATCTTTGGGTGCAAGGTTGGATTTCCCACCCATTGGCATCCTGTACTTCTCTAACATATCTCACGGCGAGAGGCCATTTACTTCACTCTTATTCTCCTCAGTCTGAGTCCTCCATGGGCTCTAAAGAAGCTTGTTCACCCATGAACCCCTTGAGATGTGTACAAGTCCAGGCCCAGGGCAGGCGCTTGATGTCGATTGTTACAATGCACAAGGCCTGCCCACGGGAGGCTTGCAATCTCCTTTCCCCCTGAGCTTCTCAGTCCTGGGGACTTCACACTGTCAGAGGGCCACAGACAGGACGTACCCAGCTGGGAAAACCCCACTGCAGTGAGCTGTCAGTTATCTGACAAGCAATTCCAGTACCCCTAGAGGTGAATGAGACATGACTGCCTGAGAGCAAAACTCCAAATTCTGTAGTCACTAAATCTCCGTTCCTCCCTCCCTCTTCCAACATGCCTCTATTTTTTTTTTTTTTTTTTTTGAGACAGAGTCTCACTTTTGTTGCCCTGGCTAGAGTGAGTGCCGTGGCGTCAGCCTAACTCACAGCAACCTCAAACTCCTGGGCTCAAGTGATCCTCCTGCCTCAGCCTCCGGAGTAGCTGGGACTACAGGCATGTACCACCATGCTCGGCTAATTTTTTGTATATATATATTTTTAGTTGGTCAATTAATTTCTTTCTATTTTTTTTTAGTAGAGACGGGGTCTCGCTCAGGATGGTTTCGAACTCCCAACCTCGAGCAATCCGCCCACCTCGGCCTCCCAGAGTGCTAGGATTACAGGCGTGAGCCACCGCGCCCGGCAACAACATGCCTCTATTATCACAGCTTCGGGAGCTTCTCTCCCTTGCCCTGCTGGGCATCTCTGCTACTGGGCACGCCTGGCCTTCACCCGCGTTGTCCCCGCAGCTGCACTCTCCTGTAGCAGACATGGGTCTTGCTGAGTCCAGACTAAGAGCCAAAAACGATCACAAGGGACCTCAGAGATCAACTCTTCCAAACTCTGCATTTTGCAAATAAAGAACAGAGCCCCTAGGAGGAAATGACTTGCCCAAGACCACACAGCCAATGTCAGCCCCACCTGGCCATGCCCCATCCCTGCCACCCCGCGCCCACCCTACCTGCCGAGTCCTTTGATGCCAGCAGAGCCCCTGGCCAGGCACTGCAGTCGGAGCTTTTCAATGGGGTCGGTGGCCGTGGTGAGCTTTTTCTTGGCCTGAATTGCCATCTCTCGGTCGTGGCGTGCTGTCCCCGACATCTGAGGGGGAATTCACAGCACGTTAGCAGAGCTCAGGCCTCGCCACCTGCCTCTGGCTGAACAGGCAGCAGCAGCCTCACTGAGAAGGAAATTTACAGCCTGCTCTGTTTTCAAACCTCCCAGGAACAGCCTCAAACCTCCCAGAACTTCCAATTTCTAACTATGCCAACTGTGTGCCTGGCGTATTTATTGCTCACTTATCTAGTCCTGAGGACATCTGGTTTCCCCAGCCTGGACAATAGTCTTAAATATGCCACCATTTCCCAACGTGCTTTAATCCTTCTAAAGCCCTCTTCCCTCCGTAAAAAAAGTTGCTCAATTCCTCTATAGTCTCTTTTTAGAATGAACTTTATATGCCATATTCTTTTATTTAGAATTGTCCATATTTTCTTGACCCCACATTTACTATTCTCCTCTTTGGTCTAAACGTCGATTTGTGTTGCTTCTGTCTTGATTGAGATTCTCAACATTTGGGCCTTAATGATGCTTACCAGTAATTAGTATCGTCTCCTCGAACAACAGACAAGGTTCTCAGGACAAAAAAAAAAAAAAAAAAAAAAATAGTAAAAAGACATTATCTCTTTCCTGAAAAATATATACAAGATCTCTTTTTCCTACAGTTTGGCTTTTGTGTCTTAACTATTAAGAAATAAGGAAGAGGATGGGTGCAGTGAAGTACTGATCCTGAGTGGTCCCCAAGGAATGTACAAACTTGAGTTCTCAGAACTCATAAAACAGTGAGCAGGCACTGGGCTGGCAGCCTGGAGACCCAGGTTATGGCCCTGACTCTTCAATGCCTCACCTCCCACGTCCCGACTCCCTAATCCAGTGACATCTGAGTGGGTCTCAGGGCCTTTGTCTCCTCCTCTGCTAAATGGGACAATTGAGTTAGATGGTCTTTGAACTCCATCCCATCTCCAGAAAGCACCATTGCTCATGAGTCCACTGACCCAGTAAATAGAGGATTCTAGATGTCACTTTAATGTGAACTATGATTGAAAAGACCAAGGAGCCAGAGAGCGTGAAGTAGGTGCAAAGAACAGTGTTTAAGGTACAAAAATATGATGTTAGAATAGTTCAACCCTTGGTTCAAAGGATCCCTCCCTGGCCAAACTGTGCCACTTACTAACCCTAACCCTAACCCTAACCCTAACCCTAACCCTAACGAGTGCTCCAATGGGATGAAATTAGTTTCATCAAAGATGGAAACCCTTGGATCTGTGCATCTCTTGTGCTAAGGCTGTTGCTCCCCGAATGCAAGCTGAAGGGTCTCCTTTGCAAAGGACTCATTTACCTTTTGGGGAAGGGAATCTAAAGCCAAAACTGAGGCCAGAATAGATAATCCAGGCATGCGTACACTTAACTTGGTTCACTTCCTGCAGCCAACATACAAAATCCCTCCTTCTTGCCCTTCGTCCCGATTCCCACCATACGGGTGAAGAGGGTAGTATTTCCTCTCAGTTTGCTTGAACTCGGGGCCAAGAAGGAGGCCTTTGCCCACCTGAGTCCCAGCCACGTTTCTTCTCGTGAGGAAACAATTGTTTTTTCTAAAGCTACCCAGAGTCTTCCTCTGCCCCCGAATTCCAGATGGTGGCGCACGCCGAGAGACCCCCGTCTCCAGTCATATCAGGCACGTATAAACAGTGTGTTCCGATTCTCATCCGGCAAGGACATCTGCAGCCCAGATTGTTTGCCTTCCTGGCAGCATTAGTTTTTTTAAAACTGGCGTTTGCCTATTACTAGTTTGTCACCTGGCCTCAAGCTGGCAATTCCCAGAGCTCATCCCCAGGTTCCAGCCCTAACTCTACACCCACGACACCCCTCAATCACAGCCAGGTCCTGCGTGCAAGAGCACAACTCACTCATCTAGCCATCTCCTGCTCCTTTACTCGTCCTTGCCTAAGCCATCTCTTGCCCTGACCATATTCTGCTAGTGGCAGCAGCCCTGGCCACCCCCCAACGCCTTCAGTCCCACTATGGAAGCAGAAACTGGCATCAACAGCATGCCCTCCTCATTCTCTAGATCAGGGGTCCTCAAACTTTTTAAACAAGGGGCCAGTTCACTGTCCCTCAGACCATTGGAGGGCCGGACTATAGTTTAAAAAAAAACTATGAACAAATTCCTATGCACACTGCATATATCTTATTTTGAAGTAAAAAAACAAATGGTAAAAAAAGCAAAAACACCCACATGTGGCCCACGGGCCATAGTTTGAGGACGCCTGCTCTAGACCCACCCAGGGTCATGCTTCATCTTGGGACCACTGTTGTCTTTCCTGTCCCTTCACATTGCTTTGTGATACTTGCCCATTTGCTGTCTCTGGCCACCCACCTCCCATGCTCATTTCCCACTACTTCTCCCCTGCCTTGTCCACTCTGCCCTATTTGCTCTTGTTTTTCCACACCACCCATGACAGCAAGTGAGGAATGAATAGAAACATAGACCAAAACCAGTAGTGGGAGGAAAGTGAGCTCTGGCTCCCAGATCTAAGACAAATTCCTAGTGAGGCCTTCTTTGCAAACCTTCAGAATATTAAGGCATCCATTGTGACCCCACTCACTGGTGAACATGTACCTAGTCCTGGCAAAGACTCTGTGAGCTGAACTGAAAACAGGAACGCAAACAAATACATATATATCCATGTTCCTAGCAGGATTATTTACAACAGCTAAAAGGTAGAAACAACCCAAATGTCCATTCGTGGATAAATGGATAAACAAATTGTGGTTTATCCATAATTGAAATATTATTCAGCCATAAAAAGGAATGAAGTATTCACATACACTATATTGTGGATGAGCCTTAACCATGTTATGCTAAGTGCAAGAAGTCAGACACAAATGTCACACATTGTTGGAAGTCAGACACAAAATGTCACACAATGTCCAGAATAGCTAAATTCATAGGGACAGAAAGCAAATTAGTAGTTACTTGGGGCTGAGTGGGGGTAGGCAACAAGGAGAAACTGCTTAGTGGGTATGGAGTTTGCTTTTGGGGTGATGAAAATATTTTGGAACTTGATAAGCATAGTAGTTAGCCAATATTATGAATGTACTGTATATATTTTTAAATGGCTAATTTTATGTTATTTGATCTTCAACTCAATTATAAAAAAAAAGACATGAGTAGATGTTAATTAGCAAGATTTAGACATTCCACAATTATACATACTTCAAAACATCATGTTATACAAGGTAAATACATATAATTTTATCTGTCAATTTAAAAAATAAGTTAAAAAGTGTGCCAGGCACATGGTCATCTTGGCAAAAGGGTTGGCTAGTGTAAAAATGAAAAGCCCATAAGCTAGTTATAACTATTATTTGTATTTCACAGATAAAGAAATTGAAGTGCAGAAGAATCAGGTAACTTGCACAGGTCACAGGGCCATGGGGCTCACAATAATCTACATGCTGTTCAGACCGCAAGACCCTGAAGATCTCCCAGTGCAATTTCCTCATTTTGCAGACTTGGAAACTAAGGCTTGGGTTGATAAAGTGACTTGCCCAACAGTCCTGGCCAGCTCCAAACACAGGGCTTCTGGTTCCCAAGCAGGGCTCTTTCTACACCCCCAGAACTGTGAATAACATGTCAGATTGTCAGAGCACAATTTGGTGGAGCTCTCTCATTAGGAAAACGGGACTGCCGGACGCAGTGGCTCACGCCAATAATCCTAGCACTCTGGGAGGCCGAGGTGAGCAGTGAGCAGATAGCTCAAGGTCAGGAGTTCAAAACCAGCCTGAGCAAGAGCGAGACCCCCGTCTCTACTATAAATAGAAAGAAATTAATTGGCCAACTAATATATATATATAAAAAATTAGGCCCGGTGCGGTGGCTCACGCCTGTAATCCTAGCACTCTGGGAGGCCGAGGCGGGCGGATTGCTTGAGGTCAGGAGTTCAAAACCAGCCTGAGCAAGACCCCGTCTCTACCAAAATATAGAAAGAAATTAATTGACTAACTAAAAATATATATACAAAAAAAATTAGCCGGGCATGGTGGCACATGCCTGTAGTCCCAGCTACTAGGGAGGCTGAGGCAGTAGGATCGCTGAGCCCAGGAGATTGAGGTTGCTGTGAGCCAGGCTGACGCCACGGCACTCACTCTAGCCTGGGCAAGAAAGTGAGACTCTGTCTCAAAAAAAAAAAAAAATTAGCCAGGCATGGTGGCACATGCCTGTAGTCCCAGCTACTCAGGAGGCTGAGGCAGGAGGATCGTTTGAGCCCAGGAGATTGAGGTTGCTGTGAGCTAGGCTAACACCACAGCACTCACTCTAGCCTGGGCAACAAAGCGAGACTCTGTCTCAAAAAAAAAAAAAAAGAAAGAAAGAAAAGAAAACAGGACAGAGTTCAGGAAGAGGGAGACAGAGAGTCCCACATTCCAAGCTGTCTTTCCTCCTGAGGCTGACCCTACCTAGTTACCTCTGGAGTCTAACTGGATAAATACAGAGGGGAAAATAATTAAATCTCTCCTAAAAGCCTACCATGAAACTTGAGATGCCCATATTAACCATCCTTCTTAGTCGTTTCAGTATGTAGTGGCCCAGTCATCAGCCAATATCTAATATTCATCGTGTATTATTTCCAAGGCACTATGCCGGGACAAGGGGTGGGGGTGGGGGTGTTACTCGGAGGACCAAGCCTTTGAATAGCTTAGAATCTTAATAAGTTTGAATTCTGACCACTTGGATTTAAGCAGAACAGAAAACACAAAATTTACCAAGACCTGGGTCTTTTGAGCAAGGCAGGGTGGGGAAGGGTCTCGGTGAAGAAGGGCGATGCTGAGAGCTTCTGAAGCACCAGGGCAGGAGCCTGTCCCCAAGTGTACATCACCGGATCACAGCACTGCACAAGGTGACTCCAGAAGACCCTCTTTTTTTTTCTTTTTTGTATTTCAGCATATCATGGGGGTACAAATGTTAAGATTACGTATATTGCCTTTGCTCCTCCCCCCTCCAGTCAGAGCTTCAAGCGTGTCCACCCCCTCCTGCCCCCTCCCAC